ACTATTTCCGAAAATCAACTACAATTTCGTTTTTTTTCTTCTTTTTCTAGCTTATTTTTTCATAATAAACTACAACAATACTGAAAATAACTATAAAAAAATCGATTTTTTTCCCCAAATCAACTATAAGAAAACTCTAAAACAAACACAAAAAATAATGGTTTACAATAGTAGATTTTACTTGAAATAAAAATAACTACAAATTAACGAAATCAAATATATAAACATAAAAATCAATCAAAATCAACTAGCAATCGAAAACAACTACAAAAAATCGAAAACAACTATAAACTATAGAAAACAACTATAAAATATTAAACTCAACTGTTAAATTGTTCCTCGATCGGCCTGTAAGTAACTACAAATTTATGCAAAATTTAATCGAAAAAACATCACAAAACATCTCAAATCAAAAATTCAAAAAGTATTCGACACGCTCTAAAACCCTAGGCACGAGATCCGCCATTCACCTTTTCTATCCCTTCACTTTTTCATCTCCACTTTTATGGAGATCCGTCGTCGGCACCACGAACAACAATGCAAGAATGGAAGCAATTCTTAGCATAAAATCTACACCTGCAAATAAAAAACAACTACAAACATCGTAAATCAAACTGCAAAAAATAATAACAAACAAAATACAACAGCAACATAAACAACTATAAAAAAGTAGCATAAATAACTCAAAAAACAACTATAAAAGTAGAAAACAACTATATTATCATCAGTTAGAAAAATACTTGTATTTTATTCTATTTCTTTATACAAGAAAGCCATTGATAGATACACAAAGTCAGACATCGATTCTAATTTATGAGTGACCCGAATATTTTAAAAAAAAATACTCATCCTAATAGATGTAAAGAATATATCATAATCTAAATCTTATTTATTCCTCAATGATTCGATAAACAATTAAGTTACAAAAATAAAATATTTTAAGCCCACAATTTTCTACCATAGAAAAGATCAGAATTTTCTTACCGAATTAAAATTGAATTATTTTCTATACTTTAGCAGGGGGAGCGATTGCGGCGGTCTGTGGATCGGAGACGAAGATAGATGAGGGGAAACAAGGAAGAGGCAGAGATGAGGAACGGTGAAAGTGGAGAGGCGGCTCGGTGGAGATGAGTAGCAGCGGCGCAGGGAAGAGAACGAGAGACAGGCGTGGCGGCTTGTAAAAAAAAATTGGACGAGGAATTAGAGAAATAGGGTTTGAGGTTTTAATATGGTAAAAGGGTAATACAGACATAAAACTAAAGATTTATATTTATTCTAAATTAAAATATTAATAGAGGGGGGTCTTACTAATTATGAAAAGGGGGTTATATGCACCCTAATATATGTAAATAATGTGGGGGGTTCTCACTAATTATCCCTATTAAAAATGGGTTATATCCACCTTAATATATGTAAATGATGTGGGGGGTTTCACTAATTATCCCTAAAAATAAATTAGTTCAATTTTATATTTACAAATTAGCCGGTATTAAATATGTATCAACACAAAGATTTTTGGGATGAAAATGAGAGGTGAATTTATTAGAGTTGGATATATGAAGTCAGAGTCACATTCCCCATGTAAAAAAATTAGCAGGAAAACCGGTTGACTAGGGCCTTTTATTCTGGAGGGAAACAGACCCACCTTATTTCCCGCCTCTATTTCCTTCCCGCCACGCAACGCACACAGACAACAACTTGCCATTAATAGAAGATGATGAATTGACATTGTCTGGAAGAGCTCAAGAAAGTTGGTTTTAGCTTTACATATATTCAAAACAATCTAAAAGTGAATTAACGAAAATTCTCTTGTATTTTTTTTTTTTTATTTTAGTTCTTGTTTTTATAAATACATGTCTTAGTTCTTACATTGTTACATGTAGATTTGTTATTTCTCTCTTTACATGTTTGTAACTATTATTTCAAAGGGAAAATTGGTTGGATACATAAAAAATATTTTCTATAACTATAAGGACGCGCGCATTTTGTCATTTTGATAAAATTACATGTGCGCTCCCCTCTAACGGAATCGCTTAGGATAACTAACAGTATCGGCGAGTAATTATGTGTGTGCTCATGCGTGTGGCTGTGTGGCAGAGCTTTTCAACGATGGCGGCGGTGGAAAATAGGGATGGAGCATATTTAACGGAATGCTAGAGTTTGATGTGGTGTTTATGTTTGACATGTACTAACATATTTTATGTTTTTGTTAATGGTGAATGATTTTATTATTGCTTCAACAATATTACAGGTTTCATCTATTTTTATTTTTTAGAGTGCAAAAAGAAAAAACTCTATTTTTAGGCAAAATTTGGGATTTTCCAGTCCCAATCCCAAGTTCCCGAAATTTTTAGGGATCTCGATAGGATTGGGATTTAAAATTCCTATCCCGAATCCCAAAATTTCGATCCCGAATATCCCGAAATACCGAATCCCGTCCCGAACTCACCCCTAGTGGTTGACGGTAATATTACTGTCGCTGTGGTTGACAGTAATATTATTGTCAACCACATCAATATCAATTATTTTGGCTTTTTATTATGTTTGCCGTTATTGAATGGCCAACAAATTAATATTACTATATTACACAATAATAGTGATTTGTGTTGTGTTAACATTACTGTGCTAGAGAGTAATATAGCAATATTAATGTGTTAAACTGATAGTTAATATTACAGTGTTAAATAGTAATATAGTTTATATGGCTGTCAACCACATCAATATTACTATTTAAACAAGCCAAAAAATGTTGAAGAAAAAACAAATGACAAAAAAAAAAAGGAAAAAAAAAAACGCCAGAGGCCGCCGGGATGGGTGAATTGTACACAAACTTGGATCATGGATCAAAATTGAATAATTTGTAAAATTTGGGGTTAAATTTAATTCAATGATGAAATTTGTGCATATTAAAATATGATGGGGTATTTTAGTTTGGGGCTCTTTGAGGAAACCCCCTCATTACTTTTTTTAATAGAGAGAGACCCAAAATATTTTTCCCCATTTGAGAAAAGCCCACACCCATTTTCAGCCATTATGATTTCCAGCTTTGCCCCCACCCGCCACATCATCATTGTGTCATGCACTCAGCGTTTTTTTTCTATTTTTTTTTCCGTCTTTTCTGTATCAGTTTCCTTAATCGACTATGAAGCATAGTCGATTAGCCTTAATCGACTATGCTTCATAGTCGATTAAGGAAATTCTTTAATTTTTTTTTATTTTTTTTTCTTTTCTATAGCAGGTATATTAATCGACTATGATGAAGCATAGTCAATTAAGAATCTGCTACTAAACATAACAAATCACAATTGCAAAAAAAAATGCAAAAATCAACTATATTTTACAAAATACAAAAAATATACAAACATTGTAATTGATTTATACAATTGGAATCAATAAATGATAAATTCAAAAATAAAATAAAAATGGGAGTTGATTGACCTTAATCGACTACCAGAGCATAGTCTATTAACTTAATCGACTATTGAAAAACGTACATAGTCGATTAAGGTTCCAGCCTGCGCAAATTTCTCTACCCGCGCCGTTATCCGTCCGATCCACCAAAAAACTCTAAATCTACCTTCCTATCGTCACCACACCGCCGCCACACCACTTTTTGTCAACCATAGTGAGAGTTCGATCTCCCAGTCTCCCAGTTTCAATAACTGGAATCCTCCGTTAACGATTTTACTGAAAAACTCCATTAAAATATAAAAAGCAGAAAAGAGAGAAAAAAAAACACAGAGAAGAGAGAAGATGAAGAATCTGGAAATTCGTACTTTGTTCCCAATAAACTGTAACCTTGTCAAAATCAACAGAAAATTCTGATAGATCTACTCACACTCATGACATATTTGCAGAAATTAATCTCAAAACAAATTGAGTATTGTTTTTTCACTCTTAATTTCTTACGTGATTTATTGTAAGAAAAAATAAAAATAAAAATAAAGATATTAATGTGTATAAGTACGGCTTCAGTCCTGTTGATGATATGAGTGACGACCTTTTCTATTTGTACAAACAAGAAGATGAAAAGAATGAGAGAGAGGGAGAGTACAGTAGAGAAGAAGAAGGTGTGGAAAAAGAAGTGAGAGAGAGAGAGAGTGTACAGTGAAAAGAAGAAGATAAAGAAAAGGAGGAAAGAGAAAGAGAAAAAAGGAGGAGAGAAAAAAAAAATTGTACTTAAAGAAGAAGAGGAGGAAAATGGAGGAGAGAGAGTGTATTGGAAAATTAAGGATAATTTTGGAATTATGAAAATATCATTTGGGTGCATTATTAGATGAGGGGGTTTTCTCTATATATTTTTGGGAGGGATGTTTCTTTAACTACTTTTCCTAGATGAGGGGATTATTGCTAATTTTCTCATTTTAGTTTTTTACACACCTCTAGACAACGTCTGCATTTTTTTGTAAGTAAATATTTTGTATGGATAAGTAAGTAGCCCATGATAAACTTATTTGTAATAGACCCTATAAATTATTATGCACTAACTAATAATAGTTATAATTTTGTTAAATTGATTATTTTGTGTCATTAGTTTCAACAGTAAATTTGTAATACAGATCACCTAGTTTTCTCTTACTCTTTCTACTTGAAGTTTTTGATTAATTTTATTTCAAAAATAAATATCAAAATTGAAAATCAACTTATACTTTGGCATATAATCATTTATCTAATGTAATTATAATTTATGTTGTTGTTTTTTTTTGTATATTGACGTTAGATACATTATAATCTTACTTGATAGGTTTTTCTTTTCTTCAGCATTTAATTTTCAATAGAGTAAATTATCCAAAGAATATGAGTTTAACTTATATATATATATATATATATATATATATATATATATATATATATATATATAATTAGTGATACATATCAAGGAAAAGCACAAATTACATCAACAAGCTTTGAAGAAATGAACAGAGCTATGTGATAGTGATAACTAAAAAAATTTGGCAGTGTGATGTACTAGACCCAAAACATTAGAAAGAAAATTAAAATGAACATGTAAGGAAACTCTAACTGAAGTTAATTGACAGTTAATTAGTTAAGCACCTCCCTAAGACTAGCTAGTTCGAGATTTTGCTATCATGTTGCCTCAATCTTTATGCTTGTAAGTGCAGTAATCATCATTTGTAACTTGTCCATTATTACTATCGGCAATGCACAAGAATAGCCTTTCGTAAGCTAGTGTCATTTTTGTGGCCGTAAACAATTTCAAAGCCCTTACCCGAGCCAATCGGCCTTTCTCCTCGAGCACACCTCTTCCATCTCTCCAAATCTCGTACAGTGTTTTCTTCAACGCATCCACCGTAGGTGAGAACGTGTACCCAATCTCACGGCCCACAATCACCGAACCGGTGATGCTAGACAATTTTGTTGCCATTAACGGCTTCCCTACAAGCATGGCTTCCAACAAGGTGTGGTCCAACCCTTGAGCACGAAGCGTCGGGTTTACAAATATATCAATAACGTTATAAAACCTCGCAAGTCGATCTTGTTCCAACGGCCCTAAAACACGTACATTATTATTATTGTATCCAAGTTCTTTGTATCGAGCGCTCCACGGACCATCTCCAGCCACAAGAACAACCACACTATCCCGAAAAGTCGAACTCTCGTTGAATATTTGCTTTAGCGCTTCGAAAATCAAGGGGTGACCCTTGTCCTTGACTAACCTCCCCGCGACTCCAAGAATTAGCGAAATATTAGATTCTCGAATATTGAACTCCGGCTTGAAATCACGAGCGTCAGGCTTGAAAATCTCCTCGTCTACACCATTGAGAATAATATGCACGCGATCTTCCGGAAGCATATAGATACGTTTGAGGATATCTCCGACGTGATCGCTAGTGGCAACATGATGTGCGTAGCGTGGAAAGAATTTAATTTCTTCGACTACTTTTAATACTCTTTCCTTGAGAATAGATGATTGCGGCACCTCGGGCGGCCGAGAGAGTTCTTGAATAATGTCGGAGTGTATAGATTCGTACGCGATCCCATGCCAACTAACGGCTAGGTTGGTTAGGTTTCTTGATCTAGTGTGCATGAGCCCTACGCTTTCGGTGTGGACCACGTCAAACGGTCTAACTTTAGAGTTTTCGGCTTGGAATTGGTCCCAAATGGTGGCTTGGTCAAGATAACCCCCACTAGTTGGTTTGGAGAGATGAAAATGTAAATTCGAGAGTGAGGAGGTTGCGTTAGTTGAGGAGGAGTAGGTGGTGAAAACATGGAGGTGGTGGCCACGTTCGGCGAGAGCGAGGTGGAGAGTCGAGGCGTGGCGTTCGAGCCCACCGGCGTGATACTTGTCGGGCCATTTTTTGACAAAGAGTGCGATTTTGAGAATCCGTGGCGGGACTGCGTTGGAATCGGAGGGGAGGAACTGCAGAGAATTCCAAGATGATGGGAATGTGAGAAGGTTTAAATCTTGTTTTTCTTTAATGTGGAAGATGGAGATTTGGGTTAGATCATGGGGATGGCAATCAATGGAGAAATAGGACCAATATGCAAGCACAAAAAATGAAGAAAGGGAAGAAAGTAAGAGAAGAGTGTAGCAACTGCACCGCAAGCTGAATTGATCCTTCGCCATTAATAATATTTTTCCTGCAGATTGTAATTGGTTTGCCTTCAAAGGTTCAGCAAACAGTTTGAATATAATATCTTGCTCAGATTTCAAGCTTATAATATCTTCGTTATATTGATATTTTTATTTTTATTTTTTTGTTTAAGCATATAATAATAAATACAATATAGAAATACAAATTTCATGCCTTGGGTTCAGCACAAGTGGAAGCTTGAAAAGGACTTCATTTGTTTCCTACGCTATTAAATTTTTATAATATTATTACCTAATGCCCATACTAATGCAATCAAATGGTTTAAGTCAACATGTGGACTTGAGACTGGATCGTGCAATTTATCTATCCTCGTCTTTGGTTAAGAATCGAGCAACCGAACTTATTTTAAGAGAAGCAAAAGTAAAGGCTGATTTTGCAAACACATAAAAACAAATTATGAGCATGCTCGGAATCTGTTTCTAAAAGCTTTTGCAAGCACCGCCTTAGAATCACTGGATACATAGAAAAAAGACGGGAGCAGTCCGGGGGAAAATAAGTAAGAGATCAGAACATGAAATATTGATCGGGGCAAATATTAACGATTATTTGTTCTATAAATATAGAAACTGTTAATCTAAACAGGATTTTAATTGTGTCTATAAATTGTTTGTATAAATATAAAGCTATGTTTTTTTTTTTTTCAGTTATAACATGCATGTATAATGCAAAATGGCAAATAAAAGGGTCATGTCAAGTCATGCCACTACAAAAGCACTCGAGGAACCTGTAAAATGCTTAATCGATCCGAGGAGGCTCTTAGCAGCACCAAAATGCCTGATCCTGTACACACCGGAAGCAGCCGTTTGAGGTATCAACCATTTTATAGTTGCGTGGCTTCGAGTACTAAGTTTAGCAGGTCTCGACCATATGAATCGGAGACAGAAATCATCGTCATCATATGCAGGCACCCAAGAATCCTTCCCTTTAAGAATCTCGACCAAAGCAAATGTACCTTCCGTCATTAGGTCATTTCTCGGACACGCAGACCAGAAAACAACTGTCACGTTATCACCTTTCTTGAAAGTGGAGTTTTTCGCTACATCTGAGCTTACATCGCCGAACTTTACACCAATTGGGGTCGCGTCCATTACTACTGGTGTAAGCAGGCTTATTTGCTTGTCTAGCAGATTGGGGAGCGGTGGACCAGATTCGACTGTTTTGCCGCTCACTAGGGCTGATGCAAGTTTTTTGAATTCTTGAATGTAGCCAGTAAGAGTATGTGGGCCGTACAGTGTTGAGGCACCCTGTAAATAATGATTCGGGTGTGTTTTATTATGTATAATTTAGTCGAATTTTTTTTTTGAATTGCAAATATGTGATAACAAAAGTAACTAACCTCGTATCTCTGCATATCGTACTCCTCAAAAGTTGTCACGTATTGGGAATATGTATTTGTTAGGCCAGCTATCACTATATGGACATTGCTACCAAACTCTTTGGTACTTGCGCTAGTGAGAACTTTTTTCACAGCATCTCGGAGACGTCTTCCAGCCATTGTTGTGAACTCTGGTTTGTCAAGGAAAGAGATTTATTCAACATCAATATACATTACATAATAAAAAAAAATGGGTCCATTAAAAGTAGAGGTTGTTCAACATACTACTGAACAAAATTAAAGGAACTCTAAACGAAAAGTGGATGGTGTAAGTATTAACCAAAAGCAGAAAGCAGTAATAATACATATTTTAGCAGTATCGAACCTGAAATATGGAAAATCTATAACAAGAAAAAGAGCATACTCGTCATATTTCTGAAACGGAATAGAAAACCCCCAAGTAATCAGTATGTAATAATCCTCGACAAAACATAAATACCCTTGACACATACTAAATTTCAACCAAGTCTGAGAACAGCCAAAGTGGCCAGCCCCCAGTTAAGAAATAAAGACCGACATATTTTTGAGTAGTTAGAGAAAAATAAATGGAGGACAATCTAGTACCTCCAGGCACACTAAGAATGACCAGCTGCCCTATTCTCAGAATCTGAACAGGAAGTACTGAAGGCTGCAATGTATAATAAATAAAAGTAACATTAATCTCAGATCATAACAAAAACCTACAAGTATAAAATAGGATAATAGCATGTAAATATTGGACAGCTAACAGATCGAAGACTATGAATTGCTAGCCAAATACTTTTAAAGTAAAAGTAAAATATCCATTTCCAATAAACTTAATTAGTGCCAAGAAAGATTCGACGACCAGAAACCTGAATCTCCAACAAAACATTCTTGAAGACCCTATAAGGTGAACGAAACAGGAAACTAAATTATCAAATATTTCTTCAATTGGTTTGATACGTTATATGAAATAATACTAACATATAATGTAAGAAAATATATAAAACAATAGCACTTGAGACTGAAGAAAAATAAAACATTCAAATGTAGGTGAGCCGGGTCGTCAGCTTGGCAAGCCTGAACTCCATTCAAGAGCCGATCTCAAACCAAAATTTAACTGTTACAAATCACTCGCCAGTTTCCTTTTTCATATCTATTATATTTTTAATATGTACATACCTCAACAGCTAATAAAACTGGCATTAATAGTAATGTGATCGTATTATGACATTATCTAATAACAAAAATAATGATGATAGTAATAAACTTATGTTACACTGAAAGCATACAACATTACAAACATCATAATAAAGTTTAATTTAGTAATTTTATCGTAAAACACAATTAGAAAAAGAAAAATAATAATGCAACAAATAAGAGAATTAAGATTCAAGTAGCATAATTAATATTTATGTATACGTGTCTTCCATTTCCAGCTCGAACCCCAACAAGTTAAAAACAGAAAAGTTAAGATTGGCATCAATATTTCTGAACTGAGCTCGATTGAGCCTTAATTTACAAGTTGTGTGAGCTCAAGCTCTTGCCCAACATTTAGAACGAGCTTAAGTTGACCCTAAAAACTTTTAAAAAGCTCTTTATTCACACCCTAATATTCAAACGTTAAATATTATTTAAATATAAAATCGATAAATATTCCCTAGTTAGGGGTATTCGGCTTGTTAATACTCAACATTGTGCCACTAAATAATAAGAACAATAGATTAAGAAAATTATTTGAATCGACATTTGATAATTTTTCGAAGCCAAGTCATACGATGATGAATGGAATAGTGGAAAAAGCAATACCATTTAAATAAAAAGATACATATATAAAAAATAGAAAAATAAAACACGTTGAGACACAATGGAACTTTCTTACAAAGCATAGAAACAATAACATAGTTCTTGTCCATCAACTCTCGTTTGTTTTCTTGCCATTTTCTGGCATCAGATGAGTAAGATTCTTTCAATGAAAACAAATATGAGTTTTCCACTCCATTTAATGAGCTCAAATCAAGTCTTAACAATTTTATGATGAACACGGATTCGAGCTTGCTTTGCCAGAATACGAGGGAGACACCTATTAGACAATACCAACCACTTGGATACCAACCAGAGTTAGAGCTTTATTTTGAGGGGAACTAGAAAATATAAGACTTCCTTCATCTGTTCCTATCACTGTTACCTATTCCATTTTTCACACTCTACATTAACAGCTCAAGCCAATACTAAACTATAGGTAATCCGTCATTATTCTATGATTATGAATTAGATAAATATGATAATATTATCTGAAACATATTAAAAAGGTCGCCACTGTGCTTCAAACAACCTTAGCCCATGAGGCAAACTATTAACACTATACTTAACATGAGTATTCACTAAACTCATAATCCCTGGCATGTACCAAGAACTAAGTGAGACAAATTGTTCTAGTTTATATAGAAAGGTAAACTGAATAACTGGATCTTGTAAAACAATTTAAAAACCAAGATTGAAAAAAAACATATGAAGGTGCTTATGACAGAAAGATAACAAATCCTGGCAGGAAAGTAACTAACCGCCCAATCATAAGGTAGCTTCATTTCGCCAGTATCAAGCAGAATGGGCTTTGGATGTTGACAGTCCACTTGTTCTTTGCCTGGATTTTTAAGTAAGTCGCGGACGAGCCTCCAGAATGCATTACCCTGAAGGAAGAGAGAGAGAGAGAGAGAGAGAGAGAGAGAGAGAGAGAGAGAGAGAGAGAGAGAGAGAGAGAGAGAGAGAGAGAGAGAGAGAGAGATATATATATATATATATATATATATATATATATATATATATATATATATTTATATACACACACACATATATACACACACATATATACACACACACACACACACTGACTACAAATATCCAAATGACATACCTTGTCATCCCCTTGCTTAAAATCAAAAGCACCAGGTCCATCAGTTGTACCAGCTGCAAATGCAAACCCCATCGCCGCAGGACAGGTTTTTACAACATTTGTTCCTCCGCCTTCTTTCGGAATTGTGACATTAAGTTCCGAAAAATCAACAGAGGTATAGCGATAATCAATCTTCCCATTTAATTTTTCTGATGCTCCATCAAAAAGTTCCACCGCTTTCCTGAATTGTCTTTCCCCAATGATACGTGTGCTTTCAAATTCGTCTGGGTATCTGCCAGCGTTTGAGATAAGAGATTTTAGGGTAAACTAAAATGAATTAAAAATTTGGGATCGAGACTAACTTCTACAATAAATACCAGAATATGAAATGAGAGTATGTATACATACCCAGGTCCTCGGCCATAGCATAACTCATTCTTTCCACCACAGGTACTATGATTGAAATCACAAGGCAAGCCTGTATCTAAACAGAATGCACCTAGAACATTTGGACTAACATCACCACAATTGCTTTGACAAAATGCGGATACAAACTTAGGCCTATCAGTCTGCCTGAGAGCACTCCTTACACGTCTTGCAAGGCTCGAATACCTGGTGGTTGATTTGCCTGATGAAGACTCAAAAGAAGCAGCAAGTTCTAGTAACTCATGATCTGCATTTAACCCACCAGACAAGAAATAGTTACTAACTCAAAGTTGTAATACTTTTCAGGCATATGACAACATATGTATCTATTCTTACATATATCAAAGGGACTGTGCTGTAATCAGTGAGCAGATAAGATGTTCAAGTAGGGATCAACCAAAGATGTCAGCGAAGGAGGCAGAGGAATAAACTTAGAAAATTTTAGATTAATACTATTTGTCATCATTACAAATACCACTCTCAAAAGGCTGAATTTCCAAAACGTTAACAAATGCCAGAGGGTAATTTACGAACTTAACTAGGATTTCAATAAATTAATCAAACCTCAAGGTAGTTTCAATAATTTACCCCAACTTATAAGCCTCTAATCAAACAAGTGGAACGAGCCTGTCACAGTTTTATAGATTGATGTTTAGTGTTTTCACCTTTCTACAACCTACCACAACATCATCATTAATTTTAATGCATATCAGTTATCGCTACAAAATGTATCCCAACAAGCTGTTAAATGCTTACGATTGTCTTCAATAACTGGAATAATGTTAGAGACTCTTCTGTGGATTTTGCTAGACATATATAAGTCAGATGATATGCTTCCACTGCTGTTGTGATCAAACCAGTCTTCCATAAATCGTGCTGCAGCTCCTTTATTGTCCCCACTTATCAATGAATTTGTCCGACTCATAGAAGTTCCATGGGTGGCGAACCAATTGAAGCTGCCTATCGGGCCCCATTCATCATCAACAAACTTCAAGAGGGTCATATCTTTATCGACATCATACTTATATTTACTGCGTTCTGTAGCTGGATTATTGAGATAAGCACTTGGACTTCGATTAACACCAGCATCTATAAGCTCCCCTGTTATTGAAGCCAAAGTCCAAACTGGTTAGAATGATATTAACGTCTAGAATCCACAACAAACGTTATGCTTTTAAACAATGTAGTTCTCTAATACCATTCCCGAAAATCAATTGAAGCACAAGTAGTACAAGATTTACAACAAGACTAAAGAAGAAAAATACACCACTCTTCTAATGAGCACAAGTTAAATGAAGCAAAAAACAAGGGCAGAGACGAATTAAGTATTTCACGGACAGATCCAATACAAGCACATCTAGTCGATCATGTTATTGAACTCAGTTTCCAACAAAGCAAGCACCCAAATAACATAAAAAAGGGGAACTAGAAACGGGAAAATTGGTCTTCAAGAATTCCCCAAACACAAATAAAGCTTTCTTTCAGGATGGTCTAGTATTTTTCCCTAAAAGATGTGGCCTGTGGGTAAGTAGTAGATTAGCCAATTGAGCACCATACTTGTGACTATGATGAGTAATGGACTCTTTTTTTAGTTACTTTTAGTTGGAGGCGAAGAATATTTAAATTGAGAATGTTGAGCAATTGAAGTGGGCCACAATTTTTGCTTCCTGCACTAACTGGTAAAATAAGCACCAAACTGGCCTTTAACCCTTCAACTATTTCATAAGCAGATCCAGCATTTGAGCAACGATTATCATTCACAACCATGATATTGTTGAGACTATCAGTGATTCATATTTCAGAACCAAAGCTTTATAGTTTATATGATAGTGGTATCTGGTGAACTGAACCCAAAAAAACTGAAATACCAAAAGGTACTCGTACCATCATGAAAGAAGGTGGGGAATTGAAACATCATTTGGATAGTTAGTAATTTGTTAGATAGTTAAGAGTGAAACAGCAGCTCTTCAACATAATTGGCAAATAGATCGACAGTACCATTCAGCAATAATCACTTTTTTTTGGTGTTAAGAAACTCCAACGCTAAATAAAAACCCATTACCTTTATTGACATATATGGATCCAGGTCGAAGGTTATTGTGGGCTTGTATGATGGTCTGCTCGATGCCATCAACAAGGGCATCAAATGACTGCCGCACAAAACCAAGGGATGTTACAATGTACACAACGTATTGAAGATAACCTCCAGGGCCAGCATGGGTATGAATGCCACTTATCGCAACATTGTTTTCTGTGTACAGATCCCCATACCTGAAACAGCATAATACAGCCTCATAAATCAAATCGAATAACATCTGGCAATAATTAGCATAAGCAACTACTTTCCGTAACATAATCTGGTTCGATTGCATACAGAAAGCTAAATTTCCTAAAGGTGTAATTTACTAGGCAATAATTACCTCGTCTTCAATCTCTCAAGGACTTTTATTGTCACCAGTTGTGATGCCATACAAGCATCGAGATTTACAAAAACAACTCTGTTACCCTTTGGCTCTGCAACTATGAAAGCCCGTGCTCTCAACCTGAAGTGAACGCCCGATGCTGTCTGTTCCGTGTTAGCATATCCCATCATGTTGACATCAGCTGCGGGCCCAGTGATGTCATAGCTTCCGAGCCCAATTAAGTAGTTGGAAGCTGATTTTACACCTCTACCAGTCTCTACCAAGAGTAGTACAAATATCGGGAACCAAATCGTTCTTATCGATCTTGCCATCATTTGTCTACCTCAAAGCCAGTTCGATCTGACTAATCACTTCTCTGCGTAGGGCAAACGAATGAATATTTCTACAAGCAGATCAAGAAACTCAAATCTATATCGATTAACAATATTTGAGACGGCAATACAAAGTATTTTACCTAAATTATGTAGTAGCAATCTCTTGAACCAATATAGAGGTAAAATAATCAAAACGCAATACGAAATATTACCAAGCATTGACTAATGAGTTTACTTATATAAAATGATAACACCACAAAAATTAGTTAACCCTCAAACAAAAACAGAAAAGGGGATTAAACAAAATTATACAAAACGAAATCTCCTTATTCGAGGGTTTAACTGCTCTCAGATTTCTTCCCTAGAAAACGAAATATCCTTATTGAGGGTTGGTGAACGACAGAGTGTACAGAGCATACAAAAAAAGGACAAGACAAAAGATTAATCAATAAAAAGAAAAATTGGGCGGAAAAGGGCTAATTCAGCGTCAGCGTCACGATTAAGGCAACAAACTAAAAAATCGACGGAGAAAATGATCAATTTACTGTAATTTTTCAGTTGAGGAGAGATGAAATTGAGAAATCAACAAGAACCCTACACGGCAAGTAGATAATGATGATGATGATGATCATCATCATAAATACCAAAAAAAACCTCCATAAATACGTAAAAGCATAGGCATGAACTAATTAAAAGGAAAAAATAGCTGAATCCAAAACTTACAGAAATAAATCGGAAAAGCTGATGAAGTTTCTTTCCAAACTTTCGCCTTTATAGTGAGATTAATGTGAAAAAATTGAAGTGGGGAGAAAGGGGGGAAAATGATGATGGGGTTTAGCGGAGAAGTGAAGACTGAGTTTCGTGTCAGTTGTCTATGGAGACTAGTGACTACTGCTACTACGATGGACTGTCTCCAAAATTTAATACATAAATCTTCTTTTTTCGGTTTCTTCGTTTACTTCATTTTTCGTGTGAATCCGGACAATTTAAATGTCCAACTAAGTTTTTTTATTTTTTATTTTTGTTTTTAATAAAAGGAAATGATTCGACCATCATACAATTGCATTGAACTAGGGGTCTGAACGAGCCGAGCTCGCCCCTTTTGGCTGGCTCGAGCTCGACCTCGAATCTATTTTGACGAGCTCGAGTTTGTCGAGGCTCGAGCCCATTGTCTTTTTTTTTTATTTAAATATTTTTTCTAATTATTATTTTATTATAAAAAATTATTTAAAAAAATAAAAAATAAAAACTAAATTGTAATTATATATTTTTTAATATTTGTATTTAATTCTATAATATTTTATATTATTACACATTATTTAAATAAAAATGACATATAAAAATTAAAAAAATAATAATAAATCCGGCTCGCGAGCTCATGAACAACTAAAAACCGGCTCGAGTTCGGCTCGTCAGAAAGCTCGAGCTCGAGCTCGAGCTCGAAAACATCGAGTCCGAGTTCGAGCTTTTTACGAGCCGGCTCGTCGAGCTTACGAGTCGGCTCGGCTCGTTTACCACCCCTACATTGAACACAATGTTGTTAAAACCGGATCAAGCTTGTTCGACATCAAACCGGCGTTTAGTCTGGTCCGATTCAACCACGAAACTTGGAAAAGTTGAAAATCAGGTCATTTGATTGGGAACCAAAATCTGGTTGAAAGATGTTGGTTTCAGCCCAAATGTGTTTTGGGCTAGAAGCCCAATTATTCTACCTTATAAGAGCATCTCCAATGGAGAGGGGGGGTTTT